ATAACCACGTGCTTGGCCACGATAACCTCCTCTTCCGCCCCAGTCTCCATGTCCACGTCCGCCACCTTGGTTCTGGCCACGGCCTCCTCTGCCCCATCCTCTTCCTCTACCACGGCCGTTTCCCCGAATATTGCGTCCGTAGTTATCCATAACTCCACAAACAACTTTAGCAGCGTATGGTCCGTCTCATAGACAGACAACACATTGCCTACAACAGCAATATTATTGAAACAAAATTAGTATTTATTGAAGTGTATGTCAATTCTTTGTTCTTCGTTTGTTTGTGTGTTTGTTTTTTATGTAAACAAATTGTGAGGTGATTTATAGATTAAATATGTTCCTTTCAATTTTTTTCCAAGACATAGTTATAGAAATTATCGTGACAAACAGCTCATCGGAAAAAATAGTATAGATATAAATATTTAACGCTGCAGTACTCGCACCGCGTCCTGTAGCGCAATGGGACCGATATCGACGTATACAACGCGTGTAATGTACACTGTTTGCTTGCATGGATTTCTAACACGCGCTGCGCGACGACTTTGCCGCTTTAATATTTATGAGGGAAACATCTTGGATTTTCTACATCTAATATAAGTAAGCATGGTATACAGCCGGAACGCAACCCACTGTCACAGAGGGCGTTTATTAGACATAGGTCACGTGACAATTTTTAAATGTCGGCTGTAGAATTACGTATTTCCGATAGGCCAGCAAAACTGTTATTTTGAACACCGTAGTCTTTGAAAATTTGAAATTTTCTGCCATATATAATGAAATCTAGTTCTTATGTACTAAGTAGTGCGCTTGATTCGTGCTAGCGGTATTTTTAGAATCGCCACACATCATTTTTCCTCGAAGGAAAAATGGGTCATCGGAGCGATTTTCTATTATTCATAGTACTATATCGTCGCATGTAGAACGTGTGGCACGATAAGTACGAAAACGATAATAAAATTTATTTATTTTAGTTGTATTTGAACGAAAATAGCTTATCATACACGAACATGAATACATGAATTCGAACATATTTTTTGTCCTAGTCAAAACAGAAAATGAAAAAGTGTTTTTTATAAAAAAAAATGCGACACTTACAAATACGCCAAACTTAATGTTTTGATTTTGAAAGGTGAATACGAAGGTCATTGCAAATTGCATAATATTTTACACAGTCAGCTGGCGCACATCTGATATAATAAAATAAATGCGATATTTACTATATGGGGGCGCCATCTTGAATGACGCATAAAACTAAATAAAAGACAAGTTGTGAAACGCG